ACTCTTCATTCTGTCTCTTTAAGAATCCAGGGTCACCAAAGTCCTGCAACCTCTCAGCCATCACACGGATAAATTCTCCAAGAGCCAAAGTTCTCGTCTTAATGCGATTACTCAGGGTTCCATTCATGGTCCCACTTTTACTTGTGATAAAGTCGATTTCACCGACCCATTCCTGTGTCATAGCTCCAAGTCTATCAGACGAACTATTCCTAATCTCTTCTACACCGATCGGCTCTTTCGATATATCGATGACTAATCTACGTGCAATCTTATCTTTATCACGAGTAGGCTTTCTACCAACCATCTTTTTACCTCTGCTAAGCGAACCATCCTCCGATCCCTCGACTTGATGCACATTCCTCTGGGACGGACTACGGACCTGTTCATCAGAGGTCTCAGAATCTATCATCCTAGAAGTCTCCAACCTTTTCGGACATTTATTAATCGTCCTGACCCGCGGCCTGAGTCTCCTCGACGCGATACCACTATCACACTTGAACTCCGAATTGGATTCATCAGCTTTTCTCTTCTTTCTAGATCCACCTGGCAATCCAGGCCAGTCCAATTCTCGATTCCGGATAACACCATCATCTTTTCCCACACGAGCCACGGATAACACTCTATCATCATGAGGACTTTCACTTTCAATCACTGTTTCTGTGCTATCTGAGCCAACTCGCCTGTTAGTCTTCGATCCAACACTCGGGATTGGAGAGATTTTCTCTCCTTCCAGGATTCGCCCATCATCACTATCATCACCTCTAATCATCTCTTTTTCTATTCCAGGTACCAGCTCAACATCGCTGTCCTTAAAGGAATCCTCTTCATTTTTCGCAGTCGTAGCTTTGGTGCACACTCCAGGGAGTCCATCATCCGATGACGACGCAGCAAGAACTAGGACGATATTTCCGCAACGCCGGTCCTGAGAGCTCCGAATACTCCCTGAAACGGTAAGTATATCATATTCCGTTGTCGATTCCATGGCCAGTATATGTGTTGGTGCGCTCTTAGCTAGGAGACGGCAGCCCGAAAAACCAGCCGGGTGACTCAGTCACCCAGCCGGGCCAGAGGCCACCGACCTCCAGAGCCCCGCCACCACGACAAGGTGGCGCATCGACGGGGCGGCTGTTTAGTGGACTTAACCCCAATGACCTTGACCTTGACATATGTTGTCAAGGTCATTGTGCTGAGTAACGTGGATGAGGTTTTAGCCGTCGCTCGTTGTTTATTAAAAAGTTATTAACAAAAGAAGTTTTATGAATGGAACTTAATTTTTGGACATCATCTATTAAATCTGTACTTCTTGAATGGAAATCAACACACATACACACACGCGCGCGCGCGCAGGGGGTGCAAGGGGGCCTTTGACACCCCTCCCGCAACCACCCCGCCGGTAGGGGACGCATTGCGAAGAGTTCAATCACAATGGATATATGCTGTAAGTTGTAAAGCGACGTCCACTTGTCTACTGGCGGGGTAGTTGCGGGAGAAGGGCCGAAGGCCCCCCTTGCGCGCGCGCGTTTGTGTGTGTGTGTACACATACATTTGTGAAATTTTTTAATTGTATTAAATTGTATTAAATTCTATATAAATCAGAAATTAGAAATTTATTGAATATTCAAATTATCTAATGGATACATCAAATTCATAATATCGAAAAAAGCATTAATCTATTCATCGAAATTGTATGTTCTTTTAAATAAGAATTCTGCGATGTAATGTGTGAAAGTAAGTAGTAAACACGGATACCATAACGAGAAATTTTCGCTCGCATATTTCTTCACAATCTTTCTATATTCTGCGTGTGAACGCCAGTTTCAGGATCTACAAAGTTGGTGGCATGGTTTACTGTTTTATGTGTATAATTTTCACAATTATCTAAAATATCATACGTTGGAACAATAATTTTGGATCAAAATTATTTACAGATAATTTAATTTTATGTTATTTTCAGTTGCTTCGAGGTATCAATTAGAAAATCTTGTTTTGTCAAGTAAGTTGTATTGAAAATAGAGACAAGAGGTCTGTTATTGTACATGATGTCCGAAAATTAAGTTCCATTCATAAAACTTTTTTTATTAATAACTTTTTAATAAACAACAAGCGACGGCTAAAACCTCCTCCACGTTACTCAGGACAGTGATCATGACAACATATGTCAAGGTCAAGGTCATTGGGGCTGGGTTAGTTCTTTAAACAGCAGTTTTATCAAAAGCAGTATTAGATGTGAGATAACTCAGTGATCTAGAGCAGTTCCCTGGAAAGCAAAAGACTCGGATTCGATTCCCGATCCAGCCACTTGTACCTCACATGTTTTTCTAATCCACGAATATTGTTTTCTAGCAATTATTCGTTGGGCTGAAAAACGTGTGAATGCTCTTTTCACAGGATATACGTCGATGCCGTTGCCACGGATGGATTCTGTTGCTTATTGATCAAATGGGCGTATAGACACGTCTGACCTCCTCCCACATACATCCCTATCTTTTCTGGACATCCCTTTAGATTTCTCTAGTAAATAATAATATCCTCATTGTGCCAATAACAATGGCAAATGGACCCTAAATAGGGCCGTGGAAAGCCTCCAGAAAAGATAGGGATGTATGTATGTATGTGAGAAGACATCTTGGCGCCCTTTTTTACTTTTTTTTTAAAAGTTAAGTTTTTAAGAATTATATCATTTCTTTTTTAATATAATTTGCTTAGAGATATTATATAAGTGATATTCCTAAAAAATTACCTTTTTAAAAAAAAGGTAAAAAAAGGTGCTAAGTCCGCGTAAAAAACAGTATATGTATTTGCAAAATAGTGTATTATTAACTGTAAAAAACTACTGTATTGTATATCCTACAAAAATAATGATATCAAAAAAATTGCGCTAAGTGAAAATAAAAGCTTATAAAAATACTTTAACCAAAAAAAGTTATACAAAATAGCTGATTTAATTTTCTACATTATATCCTAGAAAAATAATGATATCCAAAAATTACGCTAATTGAAAATAAAAACTTAAAATAATTTAACTAAAAAAAATTGTACAAAATAATTGTTTTAATTTCATACAAATAATATTAAAAAATTGCGCCAACTGAATAAAAATTTTTACTATAAAATAGACATATTTCTTTTTTATTTTCAATATTAAAAAAAAAATGATATTAAATGAATTGTAATATATCTATTATAAAAAATCGAATTGAAAATATGAACAATCATATACATTGCAATAATCATATGCATATATCCTGAAAAGTTTAATTAAAAAAAAAAGAAAATGATAATACAAAATACAAAATTAAAAATTATTAAAAAATTAAAAATTAGAAATTAATAAATAAAAAATAAAAATTTATATAAAAATTAAAAATTAATACATATAAAAAAATTTTAGTTAAAAAACTTAGCGCTGCTAATTTCATTAGCACATTGTTCAGCGTAGCAGCGCTAAGTTTTTTAACTAAAATTTTTTTATATGTATTAATTTTTAATTTTTATATAAATTTTTATTTTTTATTTATTAATTTTTAATTTTTAATTTTTTTAATAATTTTTAATTTTGTATTTTGTATTATCATTTTCTTTTTTTTTTAATTAAACTTTTCAGGATATATGCATATGATTATTGCAATGTATATGATTGTTCATATTTTCAATTCGATTTTTTTTAATAGATATATTACAATTCATTTAATATCATTTTTCTTTTAATATTGAAAATAAAAAAGAAATATGTCTATTTTATAGTAAAAATTTTTATTCAGTTGGCGCAACTTTTTAATATTATTTGTATGAAATTAAAACAATTATTTTGTACAATTTTTTTTAGTTAAATTATTTTAAGTTTTTATTTTCAATTAGCGTAATTTTTGGATATCATTATTTTTCTAGGATATAATGTAGAAAATTAAATCAGCTATTTTGTATAACTTTTTTTGGTTAAAGTATTTTTATAAGCTTTTATTTTCACTTAGCGCAATTTTTTTGATATCATTATTTTTGTAGGATATACAATACAGTAGTTTTTTACAGTTAATAATACACTATTTTGCAAATACATATTGTTCAAAATGCATAAAGTCACGGAAACCGCATAATTAAAGCCGCATTTCCCACCCCATAATTTCGAGGATTTTGGAAAGTCAACGGCGGTCGAGAATCTTCTCGAGACCTCTATTCTTTAACAAAAACCCGACCGTTCGAGCAATCTCTGTTTGCGCCGCGTATAAAAAAAACGCTCGATAACAACATTGTCAACTGCCGCCGGAATCCACGAGGCGATGCGCGCCCGTGCGTCACGATCAGCTGATGGCCAATCAGCTGATCCAAAAGAGTTGCGCGCATGTCAACAGTGAAGAATATTAATTCTGACCTCATCGGCGGCCAATCATGTGCGGCGCCGTGGGGTCACCGCCACACTTTAAAATTAATTGGGCCACGTCGCAACGGAGCCCAAAATCCGCCCCAGTATATAACGGGCCCAGCGCGCGGGCCCGGCCAAGTCTCGCACTTTACGCCTTTTCGCTCACCTATTTCTATTTCGACGCACCGCTAAAACATTACACGACCGCTCTTTTCTCACGGATCACCGCTTTCGATTTTCGGAAAATTCTCGAACCTAAACGCACGACGACCGCTATCTCTTTGGACTTCGCTAAACCGCTCGCTCGCTTCACCGCACGCGATATCGCGCACGATAATCGCACCGCTTCACCGCACCGCTCGTTTCATTACGAATTACCGCGCACTGGACACTTGTAATTCTTTCACCTTTTCTTTTACTGTGCACTGACTACATTAAACTTCTGTTATTTTTATTGAAAGTTCAAAGTTACTCTTTCACTACACGAATCCACTATCCACGATTCACTGCCGGACTTCCTCGCGAACATTTCTGGTCCTTCGAGCCGGATCCCAACATCCTCCGCGTCCGCTGTCTCGTGAGTGATCCTCCCAGTGCTGTGCAGTTTGTGGCGTGTAATTACCTCTGAAACAGAAGGACAATGAGTGTTAGTTCCGAGACAAAGGTGCTGCTGGAGGCCCAGTATGACATCCACGGTCGGATCTCCCGCACCGTAGACAATCTGAGGAAGATGGGCGTGAGCAACATCACTCGTGATGCCATCCAAGCCCGTACCGGCATCCTGGACAGCCTCTGGCAAAAGATGGAGACTCAGCATGAGCTCATTCGAACAGCGCTGAAAGACAGATACAAGGAGAGTGAGTACGCTGTATCTAATTTCATTGAAGTCGCGGAGAATACGTACGTGACGCAACGTAGCACGTTGACTGGCTACGCTGAAAAGCTCAAGGGCGAGCCGTCCGCCGCGCCCAAAAGCGAGCCTAGCCAGGATCAGGCTCCTAGGACCTCGTTGCCGCGCATCAAACTCCCGATGTTTTCGGGATCCTACGAAGAGTGGCCCTCGTTCCGCGACCTCTTCCTGTCGGTCATCGGGGAGAATTCGTCCGTCTCCGACATCGAGCGCTTCCATTATCTCCGGTCTTGCGTCAAAGGGTCCGCTGAAAAATTAATCAAATCGTTGACTGTGACCGGCGACAATTATCAGCGCGCGTGGGTGATTCTGTGCAGACACTTTGAAAACAAGAGAGAGCTCATTCGCTCGAATTTCTTCGCGTTTACCTCGGTTTCCAAAATGAAGTGCGAGTCCGCGGAGGAACTCGGTCGCATTCACAACGCCGTTACGACCGCCGTAAACGCGCAGGAAAGTATAGGAAGGCCCATCGACACTCACGGTATGGACCTCCTTAACTTCCTGACGATCGAGCTCTTCGATTCGCGCACCCGGATGGAGTGGGAGTCCTCGATTAGCGACTCCACCGATCCGCCCGAGCACGACACTCTCACTAACTTCATCGCCAAGCGTATTCTCACGCTGAATGCCGCCAAGCCGAGAGTACCGACAAAGAGCTTTGAAGGTGCGTCGCGAACCGCGAAAGCTCAGCACGCAAGGACCGGTTCCGAACATTTAAAGTGCGCGCTGTGCCAAGGGAAGCACACGCTTATGCTGTGTGGTGACTTCAAGGCGAAGACCGCGAGCGACCGTAAGTCCTTCGTAGAACAGAACAGACTGTGCTACAACTGCCTCGGGAATCACTTGGCCTCAAAGTGTCAGTCTGTCAAAACCTGCCTAACGTGCAAAAACAAGCACCACACTACACTACACGACGCGTACACCCTGGCCACTTCCAACGAGGTTAGTGCCCTGTCTGCGACGCACTCCTCGTCCGAGCGCAAGGCGATCCTCCTCGCGACAGCCCGCCTGCACATAGCGGATCGCGCCGGGGATCTTCATCCCGTTCGAGCGATGCTCGATCAGGGCTCCGAAGTGTCCATCGTCTCCGAAGCACTGGTCCAACGTTTAAGGCTTCCCCGCACAAGCTCCTCGGTGTCCATCATCGGCATCGGCGGGGCTCGATCCGGGTCAACCCGCGGCAGAGTGGCGCTCAGCCTCTCCTCGACGACTACGGGGACCAAGCTCAAGGCCGTCGCTTTCGTGCTACCACGCCTGTCGGCGTATCAGGGGTCGTCTGTGAGGACCCTCGCCCCCTGGCCTCACATCCGCGGCCTCGAGCTCGCCGATCCGCAATACCAGGAGCACGATCCGGTCGAGCTGCTGTTGGGTGCGGAGGTCTGCGCCCACATCCTGGAGGCCGGCCTTCGAAAAGGTGGACCTCACGAGCCGGTCGCCCAGAAAACGGTCCTAGGATGGATCCTGTCGGGAGGATCCAGCTCAGCGCCCTTCCAAGGTCCCCGGAACTCCTTGCAGTGCTCTGTGGACAAAGAGTTGGATCAGCTCGTACACCGTTTTTGGGAGCAGGAAAGGGAGTCGCCAGCCCCCGTGGCGCTCACGCCGGAGGAAGAGGAGTGCGAGACTCTCTTCACAACCACTCACCGGCGAACGGCGTCCGGACGATACATCGTTCGTCTCCCCTTCTCGTCCTCGCCAACGCCGCTCAGCGATACCCGGAAGCCTGCCGAACGCCTCTTAGCCGCCATGGACCTCCGGGGCAGAAGAGACCCTGAGTTCGGTGCTCGATATCGGGAGTTTATGCAGGAGTACGAGAACCTGGAACACATGAGTCCTGTGGAAACAGTCAGCACGGCTGGCTGTTACCTACCTCACCACGGAGTCCTCCGTCAGACTAACTCCGGTACCAAGCTCCGCGTTGTATTCAACGGGTCGCAACGCACCGCCTCCGGGGACTCTCTCAACCAGCGCTTGATGGTCGGCGCCAACTTGTTACCGGCCTTAGCTGACGTCCTCCTTCGCTGGCGTCGGCACCGCTTCGTGTTCGTCACGGACATCGAAAAGATGTTCAGACAAATCCTCGTCCACCCAGAGGATCGCCGCTTCCAGCGGATACTCTGGCGCACCGGAGCATCTGAAAATGCAAGAGAATACGAGCTTAATACTGTCACGTATGGGCTCGCCTGCGCTCCGTTCCTCGCCGTCCGCACGCTCCGCCAACTCGCCATCGACGAGAAGGCACGGGGTCCGAGGGGAGCGCCCGCTCTACTCCACGACTGTTACATGGATGACATAATTACCGGGGCTGACTCGTTGCACCACGCCGTTGCACTGCAAACGGAGCTTCGAGAGCTTTGCACGGCGGGCGGGTTTCCACTTCGCAAGTGGGCCGCCAACTTTGAGGCCGTCCTAGAGGGTGTTCCCTCCGACCACCGGCTCCAGCAGGCGCACCACTCCTGGGAGAATGAGGTACACTCCACGTTGGGCCTGCGCTGGCATACCGCCTCCGACAACTTCTCTTTCGCGATCCAGCCCCCGGTCGCTAGCGAGTTCACCAAGAGGCGAGTATTGGCCGAGACAGCGCGGTTGTTCGACCCCTTAGGATGGCTCGCCCCTGTCGTTATCCGCGCCAAGATCCTCATCCAGTCGGCGTGGCTGAAGAGACTAGGTTGGGACACTCCGCTCCCAACCGAGGACGCTAAGTCTTGGCAGCGCCTCCTCTCCGAACTCCCTTTGCTGGAGAACCTCCGGATTAAGCGTTGGCTGGGCGTGGACCACCCGGCCCCGCGGATCGAGATCCACGGGTTCGCGGACGCGTCTGAGCGCGGTTTTGCGGCCGTCGTCTATCTCCGCGTAACCAGTGGCGACGAGACGGCCATCCACCTCCTAGCTGCAAAAAGCAAGGTTGCGCCTATTAAACCAGTGTCCCTGCCTCGCTTAGAATTGTGCGCCGCAGCCCTACTCACCAATCTGACGTTTCACCTTCGCAAGACCTTAGAATTGGTTTCAGCTCCGATAACTCTGTGGTCAGACTCCCGGGTGACGCTCCAGTGGATCCAGGGACACGCTTCCAGATGGAAGACCTTCGTCGCTAATAGGGTGTCCCACATCCAGGAGAAGCTTCCGGAAGCGCGATGGCGACACATCCCGGGACGAGACAACCCCGCCGACTGCGCGTCTCGGGGAGTAGAGCCCCGGGACCTGATCAGCCACTCCCTCTGGTGGACAGGACCGTCATGGCTCCCCAAGGACCCATTGCTCTGGCCACAGAGCGACCACGCCGAGCACGAGGTCGACGTGCCGGAGACGAGAGCCGTCGTCTCCAACCTGACGACCCAGGAGAAGACCGAACCTGAGATGCTTCTCAGGTTCTCCGACCTCCATCGCCTCCTAAGAGTTACTGCGTGGTGTTGCCGATGGCGAGGCAACCCACCGAGCTCCAGGGAGCACCTCCCCCTCGCGCCTGACGAGCTAGAGGCAGCCCTGCTCCGTTGGATCCGCCTGGTGCAGGCACATCACTTCCCCAAGGAGATCGCCGCTCTGAAAAGGGGCAACGCGTCAGTCAAGGGTCAACTGTCGAAACTGACCCCCTTCCTCGACAATCATGGCATTATTCGAGTCGGGGGCCGGCTGAAGCACGCTGTGCTCTCACCTGATGAGCGCCATCCGATCATCATGCCTCCAGAGTCATGGTTGACTCAGCTCCTCGTCAGGGCACACCACCGGCGAACGCTCCACGGCGGGGTCCAGCTCACTCTTGGACTGCTCCGCCTACGCTTCTGGATTCCTCGAGGCCGCTCCCTCGTCAAGAGCATAATCCACCGGTGTGTGACGTGCGCGAGATGGAAGGCTGCAGCACCGCAGCCTATAATGGGCAATCTCCCGACGGCACGAGTCACTCCAGCACGCCCGTTTCTGCGCACCGGGATCGATTACGCCGGACCGATCTTGATACGAACCGCAAAGGGGAGAGGTCACAAGGCGCACAAGGGGTTTATCGCCGTTTTCGTCTGTCTCGCTACCAAGGCCGTGCACCTGGAGGTCGCGTCAGACTACTCCACCGAAGCCTTTCTCGCTGCGTTCCGGCGATTCACTTCCCGTCGGGGCCTCTGCGAGGAAGTCTATTCGGATTGCGGCACAAATTTTGTCGGCGCCAATCGGGAGCTGCGCCTTTTGTTCCAGGCGTCGTCATCCGACGGCCGGCGCATCGCTCACAGTGCCGCATCCGACGGGATACGGTGGAAGTTCAATCCGCCGGCGGCACCTCACTTCGGCGGGCTTTGGGAGGCAGCGGTGAAATCAACCAAACACCATCTGCGGAGAGTCCTCGGAGACACGACCCTCACCTTCGAGGAAATGTCTACCTTCCTCGCGCAAGTGGAGGCGTGTCTCAACTCCCGTCCTCTTCAAGCCTTGTCCGACGACCACGACGACATCACGGCACTCACTCCCGGTCACCTTTTGATCGGGGCCCCGCTGCTGGCCGTGCCCGAGCCCTCGCTGTCAGACTGCAATCCAAACCTCTTGGCCCGCTGGAAACTCCTCCAACGGATGCGCGACCACTTTTGGGAGAGATGGTCTCGAGAATTCATTAACTCACTGGCTTCCCGGCCAAAGTGGCTGAAGGACACCGTCAGCCCCTCCGTAGGCGACCTGTGCCTACTGCGGTCGGACGTCACACCGCCGACCAGATGGCCACTCGCCCGGATCGTCCAGCTGCACCCTGGGGGTGACGGCGTGACACGAGTGGTGACAGTGCGCACCGCGTCCTCGGAACTCCTCCGGCCGCTTGCCAAAATCGTCCTCCTGCCCGGAGCCGACACCACAGCACCAACAACCCCGGTCTCGTGAGCGTGAAAGATCGCATTTTTTTTTCATCCTCCTTTTTTTCTATTCATTATAATCACTGGTACTTACCGCGACATCACCGATAAGAGTACCGCGCGTAATCACCGCTTTCTCACATGCGATAATCACACGCGAACCGCGCTACCACTCTTCATTCTTTTCTCACCGACACTTCACCTCACTTGAATCGTTCATCACCCGCTGTCACTCAAGCATCACTGCACTCGCGAGATCATCCGCTAAAACCCCTTGCAATCAGCTCACCGCATTCACTGTATATTCTTCATTACCGCACCACTTCATATTACGGAGGATTCTATCCGACTGCACAACACGTGCTCTCGCGTGACGTCACACATTCCATTGATTGATCGCGATCAATGGCTCGCCGATAGTATCAGTGCGACATCTGTCCGTACCCGCGCCCACCCAGGAATTTCGTCACGCACTGACGAGGCGGGCGGGATGTTCAAAATGCATAAAGTCACGGAAACCGCATAATTAAAGCCGCATTTCCCACCCCATAATTTCGAGGATTTTGGAAAGTCAACGGCGGTCGAGAATCTTCTCGAGACCTCTATTCTTTAACAAAAACCCGACCGTTCGAGCAATCTCTGTTTGCGCCGCGTATAAAAAAAACGCTCGATAACAACATTGTCAACTGCCGCCGGAATCCACGAGGCGAACGGGCATGCGCGCCCGTGCGTCACGATCAGCTGATGGCCAATCAGCTGATCCAAAAGAGTTGCGCGCATGTCAACAGTGAAGAATATTAATTCTGACCTCATCGGCGGCCAATCATGTGCGGCGCCGTGGGGTCACCGCCACACTTTAAAATTAATTGGGCCACGTCGCAACGGAGCCCAAAATCCGCCCCAGTATATAACGGGCCCAGCGCGCGGGCCCGGCCAAGTCTCGCACTTTACGCCTTTTCGCTCACCTATTTCTATTTCGACGCACCGCTAAAACATTACACGACCGCTCTTTTCTCACGGATCACCGCTTTCGATTTTCGGAAAATTCTCGAACCTAAACGCACGACGACCGCTATCTCTTTGGACTTCGCTAAACCGCTCGCTCGCTTCACCGCACGCGATATCGCGCACGATAATCGCACCGCTTCACCGCACCGCTCGTTTCATTACGAATTACCGCGCACTGGACACTTGTAATTCTTTCACCTTTTCTTTTACTGTGCACTGACTACATTAAACTTCTGTTATTTTTATTGAAAGTTCAAAGTTACTCTTTCACTACACGAATCCACTATCCACGATTCACTGCCGGACTTCCTCGCGAACACATATACTGTTTTTTACGCGGACTTAGCACCTTTTTTTACCTTTTTTTTAAAAGGGTAATTCTTTAGGGATATCACTCTTTTTTGTACTATATGTTAAACTTCTCTAAATAAATGAGCAAAGAACCCGCCATCACCCCCGTCATATTTCATTAAAATTAGACGGCCCTCTTTGCTTACTATATAGATATTCAGATCCTTCAAACTTCTTTGCTACTCTTATTGCAAAAATAACGGATAACTACAAATCAATATGTCATTAGAAACCGTACATCTCTTTTCATTCAAAAACTAAGTATTTTAGAGAAAAACATTTTTGACAAAAATTGTATGATTTTGAGGGGAACATAAGATGGTGTCATTGATTTGACCTCGGATGGCATCGTTAAGGTCAGGTCAAGGACATCTTTAATTTCTTAAATGGAATTACCAATTTTTTATTGCATATTCTTATAGCTTATGTCGAGAGCTTTCCAAAACACTATAATAAAGTATTTTTTCATTGAGTACTTTTCGATTTATAAGGCTTAAAATAATATCTTAATTTTACATAAACTATAAAATATCTAGTAAAATATTTATTTTTTGATTATCTTACCTTAATACTTTTATGTACAAAATAATGAAAGGAATCAATTAGTGTAAAAAAAACACAGTTGTTTTTAAGAAAAAATATGTAATTAATTGCAAATTCATTCCGGTTCCCCGAAGGAAATCGTGTTCGGTAATTCGGGATCGCGTTTTCAAACGGCTGGCTTCGGGAACTCCCGAGCGGGGCGGCTCTGATCTCCACCTTCCGTGGGTTTTTCCAGCCGGGATGCGGAGGAGCGGATGGAGGCAATACCCCACGCGATAGCGAGAACTCTCGGCTCAGGCTGAGTACTCTCGACCTGGTTGATCGGGGCGATAGTGCCGGTTTTTAAGGTTTCGGAGATTCTCTTGAGCGTACGGCTTAAGAGCGAAACAGGAGAATGTAATGTTAAGCCGAAATATGGCCTTTTTATACCGGCTAATTACCCGCGTCGGCGCGCGGCGGTGTTACCCCTTCCGAACGGGTTAATTGCGGTACGGTACGGTCGAGCCCGTTCGGAGGGATTCGGGTTTGCGCCGAGCGCGGGTTTTCGCCGGTCGGTCGGTCAGGCCGCGTCGGCTTCGTTCGGCAATTTTCGGCCGTATAATCGCTCTAATTTTTAACGGCCCCGGTCTTTGTTCAGAGTAATAAAATGTGGGCGCATCGCGCCCCTGCCTCTGCCCGGCGGGTGTTCTGCCGGGCGAAAGCTTCCGGATGATGGTGTTGCCGGGAATTCGGAACGGTGCATCGGAATGCACCGTTACAAAATAAGTAATAATCTTTTTATTAAACAAAATTACAATAATTCACTAACACAAAATAATAAACTTTTTATTCAACAAAATTCTTGCAAATAGCAAAATAAAATGTCTCGTCATAAAAATAATGTTTGAAACAACTAATTCTTTTGCACCAACCACACCGGGTGAAGAAAATATTATTATAAGCAGTTGTGTCACATTTTATATATTCTCTAAAACGAAATGAAAATCGTGAGAATGTGCACGCACGCACGCACGCACGCACCGCACGCACGCACGCACGCACGCACGCACGCACGCACGCACGCCACGCACGCACGCACGCACGCACGCACGCACGCACGCACGCACGCACGCACGCACGCACGCACGCACGCACGCACGCACGCACGCACGCACGCACGCCACGCACGCACGGCACGCCACGCACGCACGCACCGCACGCACGCACGCACGCACGCACGCACGCACGCACGCACGCACGCACGCACGCACGCACGCACGCACGCACGCACGCACGCACGCACGCACGCACGCACGCCACGCACGCACGCACGCACGCACGCACGCACGCACGCACGCACCGCACGCACGCACGCACGCACGCACGCACGCACGCACGCACGCACGCACGCACGCACGCACGCCACGCACGCCACGCACGCACGCCACGCACGCACGCACGCACGCACGCACGCACGCACGCACGCACGCACGCACGCACGCACGCACGCACGCACGCACGCACGCACCCGCACGCACGCACGCCCACGCACGCACGCACGCACGCACGCACGCACGCACGCACGCACGCACGCACGCCACGCACGCACGCACGCACGCACGCACGCACGCCACGCACGCACGCACGCACGCACGCACGCACGCACGCCCACGCACGCACGCACGCACGCACCGCACCGCACGCACGCACGACCACGCACGCACGCCGCACGCACGCACGACGCACGGCACGCACGCACGCACGCACGCACGCACGCACGCACGCACGCACGCACGCACGCACGCACGCACGCACGCACGCACGCACGCACGCACGCACGCACGCACGCACGCACGCACCGCACGCACGCACGCACGCACGCACGCACGCACCGCACGCACGCACGCACGCACGCACGCACGCACGCACGCACGCACGCACGCACGCACGCACGCACGCACGCACGCACGCACGCACGCACGCACGCACGCACGCACGCACGCACGCACGCACGCACGCACGCCACGCACGCACGCACGCACGCACGCACGCACGCACGCACGCACGCACGCACGCACGCACGCACGCACGCACGCACGCACGCACGCACGCACGCACGCCGCACGCACGCACGCACGCACCGCACGCACGCACGCACGCACGCACGCACGCACGCACCACGCACGCACGCACGCACGCACGCACGCACGGCACGCACGCACGCACGCACGCACGCACGCCCGCACGCACGCACGCACCCGCACGCACGCACGCCCACGCACGCACGCACGCACGCACGCACGCACGCACGCACGCACGCACGCACGCACCCCCCCCCCCCCCCCCCCCCCACGCACGCCACGCACGCACGCACGCCACGCACGCACGCCACGCACGCACGCACGCCGCACGCACCGCACGCACCCGCACGCACGCACGCACGCACGCCCACGCACCCGCCCCCCCCACCCGCACGCACGCACGCACGCACGCACGCCCACGCACGCACCCGCACGCACGCACGCACGCACGCACGCACGCACGCACGCACGCAACGCACGCACGCACGCACGCACGCACGCACGCACGCCACCCCACGCACGCACGCACGCACGGCACGCACGCACGCACGCACGCACGCACGCACGCACGCACGCACGCACGCACGCACGCACGCACGCACGCCACGCACGCACGCACGCACGCACGCACGCACGCACGCACGCACGCCACGCACGCACGCACGCACGCACGCACGCACGCACGCACGCACGCACGCACGCACGCACGCACGCACGCACGCACGCACGCACGCACGCACGCACGCACGCACGCACGCACGCACGCACGCACGCACGCACGCACGCACGCACGCACGCACGCACGCACGCACGCACGCACGCACGCACGCACGCACGCACGCACGCACGCACGCACGCACGCACGCACGCACGCACGCACGCACGCACGCACGCACGCACGCACGCACGCACGCACGCACGCACGCACGCACGCACGCACGCACGCACGCACGCACGCACGCACGCACGCACGCACGCACGCACGCACGCACGCACGCACGCACGCACGCACGCACGCACGCACGCACGCACGCACGCACGCACGCACGCACGCACGCACGCACGC